CTATCTAGTTATCCTTGACCATAAGCAACCTGCAGTAACTCATGAGAATGACTAAGCATTTAACAGCCTGAGCTAGACATCCTGTCTACACTAAACATTTCTAATACATCAAGTATCTAACCAATATCTATCTGACTAAAAATACCTAACAGTCACGTGACTAGTGACGTTTGAATCACTTGAGTGACGTCTGAAGCAGTTGGACTCGTCGGACATCAGGTGACTGGACCAGGGTCGTGTTGCTCCAGGGCTTGTGGCCTCACTGGTCTCTGGGCCCAGCAGAGGTGAACCAGGTGTCACCCTCACATCTGACATGAAGCTAACTGTGGCCCACGTAAAAGCTTTTATCCAACAGGAATGACAAAACACAAATCTGCTGGTGGAGTATTGTGTTTATATGGAGGAAGAGGGCTGCTCAGTGTGGGAATGGATCAAATGTGCGGTGGGATTTTTTCAGTACTTTATATGAAAGACATTAGTAGGTAGCCTTAAATATATAGATTAAATTTAATCTTTCTTTTTAAGCGTAGTTCTCTTGAAAACAGCATCAAATCAAACATGACATTTACTGTGAACTAAACTACATTTAGTGATGGCCCTATGACACCCGAGGCTCTGACACATGCACAGTAGCTCATAAAACAATTGTTTCAAACTACTGTGCTGAGGCGTGTTTTGGTCATGTGACTAGTGATGTTTGAATCACTTGAGTGACGTCCGAAGCAGTTGGGTTCATCGGATGTCAGGTGAATCAGCTGATTGGTTCGGTTTGTCATGTGAATCACTTTGGATAGAGTGTGTTCAGACATAGGATATCCCTGTTTAGTGGCGTTCATTTGAATCTGTCTTTGCAGAGCAGGTTGGTTTGTTGCTGTTGTTTGCGTTAGTTGCTTTGAGAGTTAGTAGTGTTGTAGCAGATTGTGTATTTAGTGGAGAATCAGTGTAGATAGAGAGATAGATCAATAGATAGCTAGATAGTAAGTTACATAGAGAAATAGATAAAATAGTTACACAGTTAAATAACACTAGATATATATAGTTACACATAGTCCTAAATAACATTAGATATAGATATATTACATATATAGATAAGATATATATATATAGAGAGAGATATAGATATATATTGCATATATAGTTACCTAAATCTCTATGAATTATCCAAGCATTTCCTGTGTACCCCGGCCACATCTGTGCCATGTGAACGGGTTTTTTCCAAGGCTGGGGAAATAGTCTGTAAAAAGAGAAACCACTTGTGTCTAAAAACTGTGGATATACTGTTATTTCTCAATAAAAACTCAAACAGTTACACAAGCACACCCTCTTTACCCACATACCCATGAACCTCTTTACCAATGAACCCCAAAAGAAACTTTGCCGAAGTCCATACTATAATCTGTATTTGCACCAGTCCCATGTGAAAATGACATCTGTCTGAATTTGTAGAGCACATCTCATAAATGTAGCAGCACCATTTAAATGTTTTCATAACACAAAATATAAGTAAGGAGTATATAGGGTTACAATCAGACATGTCACATCAGAAACATGGTCTTCAGCATGTGTCCATGTTTATTTTTTTTATCAGCTTGAAATACAACCATGTAGTGTAGGAATCCACTACATCCACAGGAATGTGCATGGTGAATCAAATCCCAAACAATCCATGAACCAATAAATGACACGTCTTCACTGCACTTCAGTTTTTTGACCACTACATGTCCTACTGGAGCACAGTGTCATTGAGGCCTCGAGTAATGAACCATTGGTGTGAACACTGTGTCGAAGCTTCAACAAGGCCTCACTAAGCATGGCTAGTGGATCGGAGAGAACAGATGAGACACAAAGTCAAAGGGCTGTATTAGCTTAGCAATTTTTGCTGGTGGGAGCCAAAGTGTTGTGCCAGAAAGTTGCAATGTACTGGCATTGGAGAAACTTCTACCGGAGTCTTAAGGAGGTGGTGGCTGATTAGGTGAATGATCTCAGCTGTGCAACTCAGCACAGGTGTGTGCCACGCCCAAGATAAAGTGCCTACAAAGAGGAGAGAGGGAAGAGAGGCAGGTGGGGGAGAGCAGACCTGACAGGATCTCAACCATCCACCCCCCGACCCCCAGGAAGGGCAGGGCAGGGCAGGTCAGGACAGGTCAGGACAGGTCAGGTCAGGACAGGACAGGACGGGACGGGATGGGACGGGACGGGACGGGACGGGACGGGACGGGACAGGGCAGGGCAGGGCAGGG